AAAAAAAAAAAAAAAAGCATGGCGGCTTAGCTTTATTAACAAGTAAGTTTAACATTGTTATGCCTCCTGATTAACAAATACCTGTAACATGGATTTCGGATGTGGTAATTCTTCACCTTGATAGATCTTTATATAGGCCTGAAAAATAAAAAAAGATGTTCAAACAATTCAATTCAGTATTTCTGTAATTCTTTTCAATTATATTCTAAAATCTTGATAATTGAAAAAAATACATGTTTTCAGGAGTCTATCATTTTTTTCCTCTCAACTCTGGTTCCCTTCCTCTTTCATTCCTGTTGCTCCTTTTCCTGAAATACCTTTGTGCGCATCTCCAGCTGCTAATCGTACCTGTCTTAAAAGCTGAACTCATTGTCACCTCCTTCAAAGCTGCTCCAGATCCCTGTGCTGGGAGTAACAGCCATCTCTCAGTTACCCACGGGTGCCATTATCTTTCAGGACCAGACTTGGGGAAAGGACCTTTTCTACAGCACTATGCACAGTAAGAACATAAACTTTATATGAATAAATGAAATGCCATTTCCTGCTGAGAGTGATGGAGATAGGTGGATCACACAGGAGAGGTCTATAATGGCATTTTAAAATAACAGTACGTGGGGTTTTTAAAATTGACTTTTTAGTCCCTGGATCACTGAGCCACCAATTAGGCTGGTAACTGCAATGCCTCATTATATATGAAGATGGGTAAAAAGGTCCTTTTAGTTCCTGCCACATTTTCCATGTGCATTAAACCAGTAAAAGCACATTTAGAAGACCTCTACTTTGAATTGGCCCTTGGTCCACAGAACAGGTTCAGTGGATGGATTTTCTCCAGTAGGAAGCCAAAGCGTATAGCCCTTGGGAAAGTGTTCAGAGTGAAAGTGGGATTCAGCATTGTCTATGCGATATACAGGGAAAATGGGGCGGGGGGAGTGGCAGGGGAAACTTTCCAATTTCAACTTAAATAAAGTTATGTTTAAAAGAAATATTTCCCTCTAAGATAAAAGGGGTCAGTCAAGCTACCTACGAAGAGTTTGCTCAAACAGTAATTTCCGAAAGCAAACTTCTCTCTGCAGTCTTACACTGTTTATCTTACGTCAGATCCCTCATCCCTGTGCCCCGTATCCAGAGTGGGCTGCTGTTTCTGGCAGGAGCTACCACCTCAGGCAGGCACATCTAAGCACACCGGTCTCCAATGAGTGATACCTTGAAGTACTCCACCAGACCTCGGCAGGTGATCTTATTCCCGTTGATCTCCTTAATATCTAGGCTCGCGGGGCTAAGGAGCCAAGGAATCAGAATCTTCAAGTTTTTGATAAATTCCTCATCTATTTCTGTAAGTACAAGCAAACCCGTTATTTTTTACATCCTATCCCGTGTTACCCGCCACAGAATATAAAACATCTTTGATTTCCCCCACTGATAAGCACCAACATTCCTTTCCTATCAGTTAAACCTTGGAAACCGCTCTTCTCAGGGTCAATGTTCCTGCCCCAAATTTCCACTGTGGGTCTCTTTCATCTTGTCTTCTCTCGATAATAAATGTGCATTTTATAACCCTTTCATGTGGCCAGTTACTGTATGCTGATGGTTGGTAAGCAGTGGACCGATGGCCGCCAGACCAGCGGTTCAAAGCAGCCTGCAACTCCGCCTGTGAAAGACAAGCCTATCTGCGCCGGGAAGATTTAGCGCCTGCAGTCAACTCCGTGTCGGTGAGTTTGGGCTTCGGGGGTCCTTAACGCTCTTGTCGTTGTTGCTGGCTTTATATGCACAGGCTCATAAGTGGGGGGAGGCCCGCTAGTTACTGGCTTAAAGGGTGTATTTCCTCAAGATGCCCCACACGAATGCTCGCAATTGACAAGTTCATAGAGAACTCCTGCGAGTTATCGGAAGAAAGACGGGGCTTTCCACTCCCGTGAATTGTTACGTCTGGGACACTCAGAGGGGCAGTTTTACCCTGTCGTTCAGGGGCCGGACTCAGAGTTTGGTTTGGTGAGTTATAGCAAGCGTTCCAAAGGGGTGTGGTGATGATGGCCTCTAGTGATAGAAGTCAGCAACACACAATAACAACAGTGAAAGAGCACCCAGAGGTCTAACCAAAAAATACAGAACCAACCAACCAACCAACCAACCAACCAGTGAGTGGGTACAAGAAGGAAAAAATGTCCCAAAGTTAATTGTGGGGGAGATTCCACAGTTCTCTTTAATATG